CAGGTAAAAAACTACAAGCAGACACTGCACAGAAAATTGACGTTCTGTTCTCTGATTGGCCCGGCTAAAAATCTGCCAGCAAAATCCATCCCAATGGGATAAGTCCCAGACGGAGCATTGAAGGGAAACTAGAATTGAGCATAGCTGCGTAGGAAGGCAAGGGCCAGGATAGTAGAAGACCAAAATGAAACAAAAAAAAATAAATGGAAAAAAGTGGCATTAAAAAAAACAAATACTAAGAGGTAATCTGAATACTTCATTATGTCTATGCCCAATGTCTATGTATTGTAACATACAGTACATCTTGGTGGACATGTGTCACAGCAAAATTAGTCATTTGGCCTAAATTACAGATCACTACTATGCGTGTGTATTTGCATTTTGTAAGGAATGACTATCTCCTTAGCTGTCGGGAAAACACTTTGCAGTCCCTTTTGTTTCYRATKCTGTGAAGTTGAGGAGGACTTGATRTTAATRGAAGAATGGCCAGCTGAGAGGGATCTCTTCAGGAGGAGGGAGCGGGCTGTGACCCAAATGCTGTATCACGTATCACTGGCTAATCAAGAGCAACTAGCTTTCAGTTTATGGTCACATAAGTGGAAAGCTTCCATTAGTGGAGACAAAGCCAGGTGTTTCTCAGGCTGTTTAACTGCCACTATGTTCAAAAGAAAGAAGAAAAGAAAAACATTAACTTTCAWCTTGGCCAGACAATAGTGTTCATCACTGGATCAAGACACAAATTGGCATCAGGTCACAGCTGCGAATTAGCAAACACAAATTAGTGAACTTTGAGACTTATGTATAGGCTCTGGAAAAAAAAAAGATTGAGAATGAAATTCAACCTATTCCTACCCCTGATTCAGCATTTTCAGCCCCAACAAGCATGTTTACCAAACTACACATTGAAAGTCTACTGCTAAAAATGCTGAGTCAGTCGGGGTTAATTTTCAAATTRAGACCCAAGGACCTCAAAAGGACAGAGTTCATCATCTGTCACACGTGACCACTTCCTCTGTAAAAGAAATCTACTAATGCAGGGATTTGCCGAGTTTATCTTCAGAGGCTACAGGATGAACGCCACACCTGGCTGATGACGCAACAACCACCTCCTCAGTACCACCCAGGGACACCTTTATAATCGAGATTAGCTGACATATTTTTGTTGTGATGCACGAAAAGAAAAAAAAACTATAATAGAGATGGAGAAACTGGTTACAAAACCTAAAACTCAGACACACAAATTTGTGTTTACACTGTAGAATTGTTACTGCTTTTAGAAAATTTCATCATATTATGTCAGTTTGACAAAGAGAGAGGTAGAAGAATTGACTTCTACTGTCAATGATTTTTAGAGATAAAGGGTAGTGAAAGGTGTATGTAAAACAAAGATTTCATTAAACAAAAMTAAATTGTAAACTGRCTGTAGCAGCTGCTGCTGCACTTTTATTGATCTAATTGATTGATTAGTATCAGTATGTACAGGCATGACTGGCTGATAGCGCTGGGCGGTATACCGTTTTGTACCGAATACCGGTTTTTATTTGTTATGATATGAATTTTTTGAATACCGGACATACCGGTTTAAATAGCGGAATGTTTCGTCGCAGCCGCCAGTGAACTGTTGTTTCCCGGGGGACATTTTTCCTTGCTGCACCGCTATGTGCGTTAGCATGCTAATGTTTGGAGTAGCGGGTGGCAATTCTGCTGCTTATATTGACTGACGTTTAGAAAAACATCCCGTTTTCGCCGTCGCAGAATGTAGTAAACACGTCTTCAGTGACGTGCACAGTTAGATTTAACGCGGTTAGTTAATATGGAGACGTTATGTTGATTGAGACTTAACGTGGTTTTATTGTGAAAAGCCTGCAGGAAGTAGTTCGTAGTGGAGTTGGAATTGACTGGTGTGCAAGGAGAGTCATGCTGATAAGCTTTAATAAATAACATAAAACAATAAACCCGATCATAATCTTTTCTTAACCCTCCTCCTTCACGACTGGACCAAAATGCGTGACKACTGTCTCCAACCACCAGTCAAAGAACAGACACAGAGGAGGGAAACAGAGACACAGACAGAGGTACAGTAAAAGAAAAAAGTCAATAAGCAGGATTTGTACATTTTATTATCAGCTGAGCTGTGATGAAAAGAAAAATACCGTCAAATACCGTGAAACTGGTGAAAATGTTGAAAATACCGTGATATAAAATTTTGATCATATCGCCCAGCTCTACTGGCTGACATTTTTTTAAAGTGGCCATCTAAAATCAGTCAGCGATTATTAGGTTTAAAGGTGAAGTTGCTGTAATGAAATTAAATGATTTTTTAACTACTACAAAATAAGCCAAATTGAAATTCAGTGTTTTAGAAATATACAGTATGTCTACTTCACTTTGAAGGTCAGGCAGGAAAGTGGGTGGAATGATGTTTGAGTCATCACAGTTTTGTTAATTACCCTGGTCTACTTAATTTATACCACACACACAATTGTGTGCTGAATTAGAGACAGTCTGTCATTTATATAAAGTTAAGGATTTCTTTAAACCAAACGTAATAATCTCTGGAGCATCTTATGTTAAATCTTGTTTACGTCCACAACTAAATTTCCTTTAGAACCAAGACAACGAACACAAAGTCACATTCATTCTGCTGAAATGAACATTTAACTTAAAAAAGGCAGCCCTGTTTTAATTTAATGAATTTGATTCAAATGATCAGACACTTCTAACCACATTAAAGAGATTTCAAGACTTCAAAATCCAAATAAACTTCAATGAAACAAAAGTTTACCTATAYACTCATTTTAATTTGACCAAAAATAAATTGCAAGTTGAAACAATTACCTAAAGGAGTTTAATGAGCAATGATAAATCAGCCTAATTGATTTCACAGATGTTTTAAGATAATTTAACTCAACTTCAAATTTTAATCAGAGATACTTTAAGCTGAATTAAATTTTCATTTTGKTTTAAACAAGTTTGGAAACAAATGTCAAACAAATGCGGATGTGAACATTTTAATAGAATAAAAGCATACTCTATGAGATGGTTTAGGGTTAGACTGAACAAGATGATTTTACGTTTAGACTGCTGTTTCATCTCACAAATTATAAGTGTAATGTCTCCCTTGTGGGAAAGAGACGCTGTGGACTGGATTACCTGTAGTTCCGATTTCCATTCATGAGGTCCCTGCCCGGTTCACTTCCCGGATCACAGATGTCAAATGTCTGATGCTCCTCCGTCAACTCCGGTGTCTCCTCCTCGGGCAGTACAGCGCCTCTCGGCGTCCGTTCAGAGACGAACTGTCCTAGTCTCCGATGTTCCCCGCTCCCTCCGTCCTGTCAACGGGGTCGTTTCCCCGGCCCGAGGGGTTTTGACGTCTCCGTAAAAAAAAACAAACACTGTTTGCACAACGTCAGCGTCTGAAATCGGATTTCAGTGCCACGGCGAAAGCTAGTGGCTACTAKGGCAGTAAAATCCTGCTAAGTTAGCTTAGCTAGCCAGGCTTTGAAAAGTGGCTGGAACCGACGAGAGGGGCTGTCAGGAGATCATCACAGCGGGGTCACGGAGTCCAAATGAATCCCTACCGACAGCGGACCTTCAGCAGAAAGGACATAGATACTTTAACTGCGGGACAGCGAGCGACGGAGAAGCTAAAGTAATTAGCTAGCAGGCTAGCTCGGCTGATAGTTAGGACTAATGACAGAGTCGGTGGCTACTTTTATCGCGTTAAAAAAGAAAACAGCTGTTAAGACAGGCTCCCTTCTCAGGCACCGTGTTCCATCGACGTCGTCGTCAGCGAGTTGTGTCCGGCTGCCGTCACAAAGCTGTCAACCCCGCGTTGTATCCGCCGAYGAGAGTCAAGATTTCCAGGCTGCTTGACAGAACTCTGCAGGGCTTCGGTAAGCCAGCTAAATATGGTGAAGTTCCCTTTCTGACACCGACAGGAAGAGGCGGGCTCTAATCCAGGCTGAAGGCGGAGTCAGCTCTGACGTCTGTAACGTCAGAGCTGACTCCGCCCTCAGCCTGGATTRATCCCACCTTTATGAATAAATCAGCAGATAATTAAAATAGATAGAATARATAAAAGGCATGTCTTATTTAAAAGCCCTCACTAGGGTTGGGAGATATTGGCAAAAAAAATTAATCACGATTAATTGTGGTATTTATCCGATAACGWTTAATTTGACGATTAATCCCCCTGGAGTATGTCCCAGTCACATGACCAATTTAGTGGGAAATATTTGCTCTTCGTAAAAATCTTTTTCAAACTGTGTCAAAATCACAGACCTCAGGCTCTACTTCAAATTTTAAATTGTGTTGATAAATAAATGACAGAACTTTTGTTTAAATATTCGGGGAAATCTCCAGTCAGTCAGCCTGGTGGCATTAATCGTATTAATCATCAAGTGCCAAAAAATAATCGATTGTTTTCCTGACGATTAATTACAGACGATATGATTATGCCCAACCCTAGCCCTCACTGCATATAATAAAAACCTTTAAAAAAAAGTTATGCGGAACTACCATGCCAAAACGTGGTTTTACTGTTTACTTTTCCAGATATATTGAAAGCATTTTTGAAATACGGGTCCACACTTAATGTAAACAAAGCAGACTGACCTACACTGGTCCTTGTAGGTTTATAAATAAGGTGAAATCAGGCAAGCATTTAATCTTAGAGAAGGTGGAAATATGACTATCTGGTGCTAAATGCAAKGTGACAGGATGATGGAGTACCATAGAGAGTTTGACAGGCAGTCTTTGTAAAACAGCTAGACAGGTACATCTGAACTATTTTAAGTCATTTTAGCAGTTTCTGTAGGTAAATAAACATGGTAGTTGGCATTCAATCACAAATTTAGTTCATCCATTCATGGGAGGGAAAAAATGTCAGTCTTCATGTCTGCAACAAGTACCTTTAAACAATTCATAACATCTGAATTCAGTTAAAATACGTTTTACAAATGAAATAACACAATATGAAACAAGTCAAAAACCCTRCAGAAGTAATAAAAAACAATTTTATTTTTATTAAAAAATAACCCTCCCCAACAGAGTTCCAATACTATCACACACAGAACCAAAGAAATATGCTTCAGTGTCTTTTCGTTCATATCTATTGGGAAGTGCTTTGCCAAGGACTGTTATTGATCAGTGGCTACGATATTGCTTAGTCAGACCGTGAGGCTGTGTGGAGAGGAGTGAACCCTCCTGTGTCCACGATACATTTCCAGGGTGACGGCATTTCTTGTGCCTCCCTTTGCAAGGTGCTTTTGTGACTTCAGTAAGTGAAGAACTGCATCTGGTTTAGTGGTGCTGGGAGGCACCCCAGTCTTGTATTTAAATATAGTAAAACACTGGCCTCAACTGTGAAAGGCCCAGCATGTGTCGGGCCAAAATATATAACATGTAAATATGATATCTTCATATATACAAATCACCTTGGACACAATGAAGGATCAGTAAACCGGTGTACAAAGGCATTTGGATTATGCAAGTTCATAAATATGATTTTAAACTCAAACTCGTCTGATTTCTTTCTTTTTTTCGATCCCCTTTCAACTTTAAGGGGTTTTGACCATCAGACRAGATTTGAGGCGCTTTAAGGGCAGCTGCGGTGGAATTTTGAGACCGTCTCCACAGTGCCCTCTTGAGGATACACTCTGACAATAGTCACAATATTTAAAATGACAAAAACTATCAGTCTCAATCACCATTACACAATCGAGGCAAAACAATTGACAGGCAGTGGTGAGCACAAGGCTCCTATCTCTAAGAAAACCAAAGTAAGGTGGCTCAGAATATCCAGTCATTTAAAAAATAATTACATGCATTTTTTTTCTATATATAAATCCAGAGAGTGAGTTGATGTAAAGGCAGGGCTTATTAAATAGTAATAGAGACCCTCCCTGTCCAATGAGCAATCCCCCATCTGTGACGCCCATGCACACAGAGCACCAATAGGGATTGGCTAACACAGACTAGAGGATTGGGACAGAAGATGCTGATTGCGTGTGAAAACAAATGGCAAACACAGAAAGTGGTGGAAAGGCTAATGAGTGATAGTTTGGCCTGAAGGAAAACAAAGAGGGCAAGTGCATGACTTTGTTTTTCACTAGATGCTAAAAAGGGAAACCAAGTGTATGTGTGCTTTCATTACCCAGGGCATGAGCAGTAAACGCCTGCAGAAGGAAGAGCCGTGAGTGAAAACAGGACCGGTGGAAGGTAGGCGTGTACAGGTATGCGAAGAATTCTGCCACTGGAAGGGTAAGATGCGCTGAGTGGCGTCATCTCCACTGACACGAGTAGGAATGTGCAGAACGATCGAAGCGAGTTCAGCGGCTGAATGGAGCGTCAGCCGCGCAGCACTTGAGTGTTCGCAAACTCCACGTTTGCCTGTTGTCAAATCTACAGGATAATGTTGCCTATTGCCTCGTTTCTGAAAGCAATTAAAGTGTGACAGTAGAAATGTAAAATAGTTTGGTTCAAGTCTTCCAAAAGATGTTCATAATTCTGAAGTAAAAAAAACAAACAAACAAAAAATCAATAAGTAAACAAAAAGTGCCTCAAATCATAAAGAGCAATGAATACAGAAGTAACCTTCCTGCTTAAGTGCCCCTTTTTAATTGGTTGGCATCACTTTTGGCTGGTTAATAATGCTGGTAGGTGCATGGGGTGCAAGTATATTTGATACACTCTATGCAAATGGTCCCTCTACASTTATGCTATAATTGCCTCTATAGACTAAAACCCTAGGGACTGGCCAACGAGGACAGAGTGCAACGGCACTGCTCCTCCATCTATACAGCTACACCTCCTCCTCCAGTCTGCTAATTTAAAAGACCAGGTGACAACCTCACATGACTAAAACTCAATGTGCGGGACTGGTGGCACCTACATGCTAACGCTAAGTGCTAATGTACCATACCTCAGACTCCTCAAGGCTGCTTTAAAAAAATAACATTATTTCAAAACATTAAAAACATGAATGTCTTTCATGATGATGTAAAAACACAAAAAAAATACAAATTCATACATGTAAGTGTGCGTGCTCAGTACCACCCCTTTGGAGGACCCCAATGCTAAGGGGCTTGGAACACTGGCATCCGGCGTTCGGATGGGTAAAGAGGCAGCATTGTGGTGGCAGTTAAAAAGGTTTCAGGACTTTTTACCCACCCCTTTTTTAACGCCCATTTTTCCTCCCATTTGTATTGCATACTTASTTAGATGGGAGTGTGAAGGTAGCGTACAAGAAAAATCACATAATGTCCACAATTAAAAACAATTCAACGTAAAAAAAACAACTGTCCTGATAAAGTAAAAAAAGTACAAAAAAAAACATTTTGAGTGCATGAAGCTGCATTCTGGCTGTGTTTACAGGAGAGGAGTGTTGTGTTTCATGGGTCTGAGTAACAAACTGGCACGTTTGTGGAGGATGTGTAGTGGGCAGTTGTTGGGAATAAGGGATGGGGATGAGGTGGGAGTGGGCCTCCTGCCCGCTCAGGTAGAAATGAGGTGGGAGGGAACGATGGTGATGATGGCTGGTGAAGCTCAGGCGAAGTACATGGTCCTCAGCGTGTCGTGATGRATCTGAACAGCTTTCGCCAGCGCCTGGGGGTCCCGGCCGTTACTTTGACCAGATACGTGGCTACCCTCTCCACTGCAAAGACAACAGAAAAAAAAAAGAGCTTGAGCACAAACCCGTAACACTTGATGCGTGTCAGAAGAAAACTCCGCTTAGAATATTACTTCATCTTWTCCATAAATTTAATTTTAAAAATGTCAGCACACCAACCTGTCATGCTCTTTGTCTACTAGATGATAGCGAGCTCGGAAGGCCACGAGACGAGCGTAGTAGGCTGGGGCGGGGATGGAAACTGAGCGGGTACAACGAACATATGTGTGGCACAACTGGTAGGTTAAAATCTGCAACTCATCAGCTGTGAAACGATTGTCATCCCACAAGACGTAGTAATGAGATGGCCGGCTGGTACCCTGGGGTCAGAGAAGGATTTTTTTTTTAGATGCAGACAAAAATTAAGAAGCGGGATGAAAATGACTAATTATTAAGAAAATGCATTCACACAACCGTCTGTGAAATACTAAAATATTTATGTTAATAATACCTGTATGCCTGCATGACTGCAAAGGTAGAAGTCAAACTCAAAGGGATGAGTGATGCTGGTGTCCACCGTAGTCCCTGCAGGTATGTTCCCACTCTTCCCAATCTGTCAATGAAAACAATACTTGTCCATTACCCCCCAAAAAACATAAAATTAATCAACTAAATTTAAATTTAATAAAATATAAAGAAAAAATTGTTTGCTCACCCTCTCAGACTTGTCAGCACAGAAGAGGCGTGTGTGGTGGCGTTTCTGTACCACGATGTAGGTGATACCAGGCTGATAATCTTTCTCCAACTTTATGCATGCATCTCTGATGGCCAGGAGCTCATAGTGGAGAATCTACACAGAAAAGGGTTTTAATTAGGAGTCAAGCTGAGAAAAACACTGAAACACAATTTCTATCAGTGCAAAGAAATACACTGAGAAATCAAACATATAAAAACAGTTTTAAAACACTGTTTTTAAACAGTGTTTAAAAACAGTACCTGTGGCAACTGTCCCTCAGGAACACCATCTCTGTAGAAAATGATCCTGGTGGGTTTAAAGCGGGTTGACTTGTAGAACTGAATTAGCAGTTCCCGCACCATGTAGGATAAATCTTCGATGATTTCCTGCCGGGGTCTCTGGACGCGGACTGTGGCACAGTATCTGCTGGGATGGGCGTCCATACTGCCTACCACCTGGAAGAACAGGTGTGCAAACAGCTGAACATGGTACTCATCGAGGGCCATAGAAATAGAAACTGTATAAACTCCTATTTCCACTTAAACTGCTTCAGTGTTAACGTCCTTCCATGCGTCATTTTCTTCCTTTATCCCCTTGTTTGTCGAAACTACGGCCAACCTTGAAYGCTGCATGTGAAAAGTGTGTGAGGCTCAGCATTAAAGTTGGATTTTTCTCTTATCAAAAACGCTRCAATCATCCTTTTTCAGCAGTTCCCAAGCTGGATGATGCAAACACTATCCACTCTCCTCTCCCATCCTCTCGCTGCCTGAYTCAATCATTTGTCACAATTGCTAGGCAACAACACATCCAACCACAGCTGAGCTGAGGTCAAGCGCAGACGAGAGTCGGCGTCATTTCCCTTTTCAATGTGAGTCAGTGATGAGCCATTTGTTTCCCTTATACCCTGAACCGACTCCACCCTTACTACTCCTTTCTTCAGCCTCAGCTGTGAACTGGAGGCAAAACAAAAGACAAACTGCCTGTAATTATTTTTTCATGACGTGATTTAGAAAGACAGAGCGAGTCTGCGTGTTTCCTGTGTGTTCATAACATTAAAAAACACGTTTTAAAATCTTTTTCAGCCTGATCTATTAAGTTACATTTGAGTGTTTGGAATCACTCTGATACCTTAAAGTTAAACATTAAAACAGTAATTTATAATTAAAGTATTCAATATTTAAATTATTTTTTTTTAATAAAAAAAAGATTAAGTCTTTAAAAGACAAATGAATTAAAATACCTATCCTAAATGATCACAAACCTTTTTTAATACTTCATTTAAAACCATTAAAACAGACAAATGAGCTGAATATGAAATCATGTAACTTTTATTCAAGTTTGATTTGTGTTTTGAAATTAAAATGATGCAGCTCTTTTCTTTCAAGCATACTATTTATAGCTCTGGCATTCTCTTTTTACCTGCGTTACAGCGAGCAGTAGCTGCCTTGAGTCACAGTCTCTAAGCAACCACAACTGGTGTTTTAATGAGATCTGGAAATAATTTGCATTATTCACGTTCGTGCTATTTTTATTTGACTATAAAACGAGGGCTCCGACAATCTTGGTAACTCAACAACCAGGATAGAAGAAAGAAAAAAAAGACTTAGTGACTAAACTCAGAAGTACTTTGGTTTACAGTCGTAATAAATACTATAATTCACTGAATTATTTTCTTGTGTCTCTGAAAAGGTTGTAATAAGAAACACCAGACAATCAGGTTTAAAGTTATAGCTCCTAAAGGTTTATAAAATACAGATTTAAAGTTAGGATATCAGAACCCTTTCTGATTAACTTAAATGTTTAAACTGTAGGGGTCATCACTTATTTTCAAAACAAATAAAAGATAAAATAGATTCACTAGTTATCAGAGCTTAAATCTCATCTTAATGTACGAGTTTAATGTGCATTCCAGATTTGACAAGAGGCTGGCTGGGTTTCCCTTTCTTTTCCTGACATTGTCTTTAGGTTCCAGTAGTATTGTTTTAAAGAAGGTRTGAGACTTACAGCAGTAATAGAGGGCTTCTTTCCATCTCCAGCTGGAGGGTGTGTGACATCTGCTCCCAGGAAGATAACTGGCTGCTGAAACACTGCTGACCTTGAGGMACACATGAGGGGGAAAGACGCAATTTACACTGAAGGCAAAGGATCTTTTAAAGAACTTACAATATCATCACATGCAGAAATGCTGACATGTTACTCAGCAAAAACTGTGAGGGCTGCAAATACACTGGACAAAAAATAGAACTTTAAAAACCCAGATCTGTAGTATTTTTTAAACTAGAMAAAAAACAGCATTATATAAACCACCACAAAGTGATACTTGAGTAAAAGTACAAGTACCGCAACAAAATTAACTTTCGTAAAAGTTAAAGTCTCCTTTAGGAAAATTACTTGAGTAAAAGTCTTAAGTACTTTAAGTATTAAAAGTAAAAGTATTGATTTAAAATGAGCAGTTAGATTTTCCATAATGACATTTATTAGGAGGTGACCTCCCCGAAAAAATGCAGAAATTACTATATTTTATTAAAATAACTAATTTATGTTAAATCTAGGCTGCACTAGTTCAGCTGTTTCAGTTTATATACATATATCAAGGCTGCACAAAATATTTTTCCAAAATAAAAATGTATCTGAGAGCTGTGGCCAAATGCAATAATATAATTCATGAAATACAAATACTTCTTAAGTACAGTACTTTTATTTTAATGTGTGTACAAACTAATATGGTATCAGAGTTTTATATACACTACTCAAAAAAATAAAGGGAACACTTAAACAATGCACGCTAACTCCAAGTAAATCAAACTTTTGTGAAGCACATTCAACTCTGTACAGAACAAAGTACTCAATGCGAATATTTCATTGATTAAGATCGGGAGYTAGCGTGCGTTKTTTAAGTGTTCCCTTTATTTTTTTGAGCAGTGTATTTATACTTCTCATTCAACCACAATTAAATTCACTCCATCTATGAGGCACAATTTATATGGATTGTATTTATTTTTTTACAATAACAAGCTGGAATGAAAAAAAAGCAAAAATGAAATAAAAGTAATAACTTTCTACTTCTTGCCTTTTTAAACAAATGTAAGGAGTAGAAAGTATAGATAATTGTGTGAAAATGTAAGAAGTAGAAGTAAAAAGTAGGCTAAAAACTCAAGTAAAGTACAGATATCCAAAAATTCTACTTAAGTTACGTATCAAAGTATTTGTACTTTGTTACTTTACAACTCTGGAAAAAACAAAAAACAAAACAGACATTGAACTACCCGATTTCCCCAACGTTGAGTGTAAAATACAGCAATAGACGGCATAAAAATCATTCACATGCTCTACGTGTTTTTTATCTATCATCTAAAAAACAAGACATAAAACACCGGTCAAACAGAAACTTRCCTTTGATGAGGCACCAGGATGTTGTTTATGCCTCCCAGCTTTACGTTGATCTTGAGGCAGAGGTTGGAGAGCGTCTGAGGCGACGTCTTCACTACATTCTTCACCTGAACACACTGGGTGGCCATGCCCAGCAGGGTGTCTCCCACTCGCTTCACCTCGGCTGAAGAGGAGGGTTTAGAAATTASWCAACACGTAACAATAAAGACTGCAGTAATCTGACTTGATGGTATTATAACAGGGTATTTCTGAAAACCATTTGTAATTTGCTGTTTGTTTTAAGGATGTGTACTTCCTCCTCTCTTRCTGTTAATGTGTGAGAATATCTCTAGGAAAAACAACACAGGGACTTGAATGTAAATAGAAACAAAGCTCACTGATAAGTCATTTATTTATACGCTGCTGATAATACAAAAAGAATATAACAGAGTTTAAAGCTGTAAACTTACCACTGCATGTCATTATTTTTTTGTTTTGATAAAAAATACACATGCGTTTTTGATTAACATAAAAAAGAGGGTCTGAAAACAAATTCAAGTACCATAAACAGGAGTTTTTCCAGGCAGGATGACGATGATRAGYTGYAGKCCRGMRTAGRYGTTCTTYAGGTGTCKGAACATGGGCTCCACGCTGTCGGCTCCCTGGGCGTATTTACAGAAGCATGGCTGGCCTTGGATGGGCATCCCAGCATCCTTAGAGATTTTTCGCAGCTGGTCTGTGAAGTTCCTAAGTTAAAAAACACACAGTACAGTTGAGATAAATTTAAGTTAAAATAAAAGCAAGCTAAAATGTATAACTCTGACTTAGTTTGAAAGAGTTTTGTAAAGATTTTTCTTTTACATAATTTAGAAATTTGAAACAGTGAAAATTCTGAATTATTATTATTATTGAGGATATTTGAACAAAGCTGATTATCTCCCTTGCAAAGCATGAAAGAGGCAAGGAAAAGTAGATTTAATAATTTACCTCAAACTTTTAAACTCAGCCAAAGAATGTTAGAAGTGGGAAAAAAACAAACGTCTAATTCCTTCAACAACAAAATAATCCTCACTGCTGCTATTCATTAGGACTTACTTAAGCACCTCCTCTCTGCACTGCTTCTGGGGGGCAAAGCAGGCAATTGCCCAGACTTTGATCTCAATGCCGTTGTAAAACTGCTTCCCCCTCATGTCCCACACTCCTTGGTTGGGGGTGGCGATGGCTCGGTTCTGTGGAACAAAAAACAAGAGAAGCAGCTTTTAAACCAAACCCTGTTAAAGCTGTTTTTGAATGATTATATGTTTGGCAACATGAAAACACTACGCTGACAGATGAGACGTGTTTACCCGTCCTCCGTACTGCAGAATAGGAGCTGGCAGCACTCGGCCCGTCACCTCAGCCATATCGTCTTTCACCTTGATCCCAAACTCCTGGATGTAGGGGTCCAGGTTGAAGTTGGCATTTTTCATCTGCAGAGAATGAAGGATGTGAATTATATGTCTTCCCTCCAACTACAAATCGATAGTTCAAATGGTTTCATGTGTTAGATTCTTTGCTGGTTTTCAATAAAGCTCACCAGCCTGCTGATCTCTTCTTGTCTGTCGGGTGCAGAACGAGCTGTTGCTTTGATCATGGTGGAGGTCTGGTTATCTGTCAGTTTCTTGATGCATCGTTGACCAGCTACAATGTTACACACCTGGAATGAGTAACAGAGATTCACTAAGGTTTGACCATCAAATAGTTTTAGATTTCTGTGTACATAACTATTTAATTATCCCCAAAGGCAAAGAAATGTTTTTGCTTGTGTTTTGGTGCATGGTCACTTTTCAGTGTTAGCGAAATATATCTGGAAATACTGGATGGATTTTAAGAAAATTGTCAAAAAGTAATTATTAGATGTTTCCCTACAACTGATTAATCAGTTATACCAACCAGTCATGGCAAACTGACTTTAAAAATCACAATAATAACTTTAACTCAATCAGTTTGAAATATACTGGCTTCAATTTGTGTAGCTGGAACTGATGCCAACATTTATTCTGAGCACTAACTGTACAATAAATTTGGTTACAATTTTGCCATTGCCCATTCTGTCATCAGCTTTGTTAGCAAAATACCTCACGAACCACAGGACAAATGTTCATAAAACTTAAAAATAATCAATAGATGTACTTCTACATCTGAATAAATTTTGGAGAAATGTATTCACAACACACAAACTGAGTGTGACATCTCACAATGTTGCATGAGACTTTTCATAATTTGACACAAAGTCTCCAATCAATTTACATCATAGGATAATCTTAGTTTAAACCTCAGGTATGAAAAACGGAAGGCAATATGTATTCTTTCACAAAATTCAAGGACTCTAATATGCTTTGTTTTAGTCTCTAAATAACGTATTTATCACAATTAAATCCTCTCTGACTGCATCTTACCTCCAGGGGTAGATAGGTGTGCTTTTGTTCCTGTCCCACTTGTAGGCAGGGCAGGTGAGGGTATTTGAGCTGCAAGTTGTACTTCTGCTTAAAGTACTGGGCCACTGTACATTCTACTGTCTGTCCGCTTTCAAGCTGGAGAGGAAACCTAGAAATAAATAATACCTGCATTATATTCACGTCATGTATTTTTGCAATGTCCAACTGGAGGTTTGCAGTCTTATTTTATGTGAACACAGAAGGGAAGGGTTTTCAAAATCTGTGTATTATTTTATATTTACGTCTGGTGACTGGCAGGACGTCGGGTAACATTGCATACACGGTATTTCCTCTTCATTTGTCCACAGTGGGTCACCTCCACCTTCAAGCCTGTAAACAATAAGTTAAACAGAAAAGCATTAAAACAACCCGACACCCAAAACTGACAAAAAAAAGAAGTAATCTTGTCAAATTTAACTTTTAACAAAGTCAAGAGACCTATCACTGAATGGTGGGATGGTAGAGTAACTCATGAGCTTTACATTGTATTCTGTTGGGAGGAAAATTATAAAATTAACTTCAGAAGGTTTGTTGGTTTAGGGTCATCCTGATGTTCACTGGGTTATTTCAAAACAACCAAGTTTCTTACCTTTAATTTCTTTAGTGAAGCGAACTCTTTGAGAGTCTGTGAGAGTCTTTGGCTGCTCATCGATGTTGCGAATGTCCAGAACCTCACACATAAACTCAATCACAGGCTGAGCTTTGTAGAAGGCCGTGGCGGACACTAGAGGGAGACAGAGAGCAGTGGATGACTTCCTAGATAAAAGCTGTGATTTGGCCACATTTACGCCTTAAGTGATATATATATCTACAAGCAGTAAAAAAACATAAATAGTAAAGTGCCAGTTATGCCATCTTTTAATACATCAGTCATGATTTAATTCGTTTTTTTTTTTTTTGTCATGGAGTACATGTTAACCAACAGTGTCAGTAAAAGCCACTGAGATCACTGAATGACTTCACACAGAGATGAGATCGTCTTCAGTGACTCACCATCGATGTTAAGCATCATCTTCCACATGGCGGGACGCACAGACTGGTGAAAGCCAAACCACACCTCCCTCCCCCCACCCAGTGGGTGGTAGTATCCTTCAGGTGGGGAGAAGAATGAGCGGCCCACTGGAGTGTACCTAATTAGAAGGAGTTGAATTGTTAAATAAGAAAATTCAAGACTTGCTGAAGAAGAAATGGGATACATGGTCACTGAACTGGAATCTGTTGCCTGTAAACTCCTTTAACACTTTCAAGTCCTGAAGCGAGTTATGATTCCGTTAACCCAGCATTGTTCTGACAGTTTCACACAGGTTTCGGCTAACAATTGTCTTTTGTGAAGTGGCTCATGCCTGGAGGTATGGCRGTCACTAAAGTCAGAAAGAAACTCAGTGAACCTTGCTAATGTGCACAAAAGACTGTCAAGTTTAATACCAAAAAGAAAAGAAGGCCAAAATCACAACTTGTTGCTCAACTTGAACACAGCTGACTTTACAATGCTGACATACAGCCACAGCATTGGAACTGTGCACATTTAGGTAGTGCATCAAAGAAACACAAAGGTCTAGCTGTACCTCATAGAGGCTAAGTGACGCATRGCCACGTCCAGGGCTTGAACTGAGTCGAGTGGGACCTGCAGCCGCCCGCTGACCAGAGTCTCCTGCAGCAGGCGCCATGACACTTTGGCCAGCCAACGAATGGACACCTTAAAGATTCGATCTTTACCCTCACCGGGGATGGTTACCTCAAAATCCACCTGGAGAAGCAGCAGGCATAACATAAAATAGAGAGCAACGAGAACAAAGATAACCTGCAAGCAAAAACGTACCTTCTCACTCCCAATAGGAAGTGCTAGCACCGTGTAAATGTTCTTCTTGCCATCATACACTGGTTTTCTGTCACCAAAGAGCTGGGGCTTAAAATGTTGGACCATGTACTCCACCACCTCTCTGTAGGACCCAAACATAAAAAAGGCTTTAATCAATAGAAACCAAAGGAATCACAAGCAGTCGATTTAACCCCCAGTTTCCCATCATGATGCTTTATTGTGACAGAGTTCCTAATACGATAAGAGTATTGATCAAACAGGATACATCTGGTGGGCGCAACACATCGTGGTCACGACGAGAGAGGCAAGAACAAAAAGAGTGAGGGTTCAGGTGGCATTGGGGGGGGGGGGGGGGCAATGTTCAATGCGTTAATCTTCGTTTAAGTGTGGGGGGCTTTAAGAGCAAAGGTCAAAGGCCTCAACCGTTGCATGCGTTTTTGAACCTTTTGTGTCTCAAATTCAAAATGTACTGAAGGTGAACAACAGCTGACCTCCAGTGGAAAATGTTCAATTAGCAACTTTTTAAGTTTTCTGAGGCCTATAGACTTAAATAAATATATTTAAATAAATAAAAACACTGACTATCATTTGTGTATTTTAAGACATTTCCTATCACGTCTTTTAAAAAAAGCTTTTACAGATTTATTTTCCATCTCCTCAAAACATATACTGTTTTAAATTAAAGGCCCAGCGCGACTGTCCAATTTTAGGTCAAAATCTGAAAATCTACTGCCAGTTTTGTACAGTTTTTAATGGTCTAAACGGGATGATGTGAGGGCAGTTGTCAGTCTTGTTTTTGCCTTAATAGGCAGGGAGAAAAGTGCCTTTTTCATGTTTTTGATTAGCATTAGATCTTTGATACAAAAACAAAGTATTTTTTCAAAGCAACACAAGTCGACAAATATATTAACATGTTTGCAAAAATGTGGTTTCAACATTTTCAAACATATGTCCCAATCAAAACCTTTTAAATGAATATTCGCAATCATAAGTTCTGAGGCAATCGGCAACTACATTGGTGTCAAAGCTGTGTGAGACTGGTGACAAACAGACAGACAATATAGTTTTATTTTCCTGCTAATAGGCAGCCCTGACACATGAATCCACGAGACAACTGTGGAGAATGATGGTGGATCATATGTTGTTGACAGCCACCTCAGTCACAAGCCTGACACCATTTTAGTGCAGTAATAAAAGCATAGAAAGCATTCAGGCCTACATGAAAAAAAAAAAAAAAATCCTGTTAGATCAAACATGAAGAAACATACCAGTTAAGTGTCAGGTTGCCAATTACCATCAAAGGCACAGAAGAAAGCCTTTTTTTAAAAAGAGCTGCTTCTCTGGGGAGCCATGACAAACATCAACATCGAATGCAGCTCACCCTTGTGAGCATTGAAATTTAGGTTTATGTTCTGTTTAGTGCCAAGATTAAAGCAATGAATGTGACAAATCAAAAATGTGGCAGATCAGATCTGTTTTCTCCCTGAATGTGGTTTAGCTGAAGAAAAAAAAAACCTGGTTTGAACCAGTAAAAACWGCACAGAGCTAAAAGTTACATGAAGAAAATGTATTAGTGAAGAAGGAAGATGGCAAGCTTTTCAACCAAGATGCCCATTTTAGAAAAGCAGTATTATTAGTCTTCAGTCTGTCTATTTTATCCAATTATACTGTTGAAAAYAAGGGCTGAACAGAACTGACTTTCTGATGCATCTTCACAGACATGTACGTTTCTCACTTTGAGGGGAGAAAAACAAAATTAACTGTTCTTTAATATTCTTAATAACATCCAGCTAAATATAATAATTGCTTTCCTAAATGTACCAAACAAATTGTGGCACACGTGCATCTTCCATGTAACAAGAAATAAAATTAAGCATGTTTTACACTCATTTCCATTCTATTAGAGCTCAGTTGTAATTTATCAAGATTTCCTATGATTTTCAAGTGGTGTATTTTAGGTATTTTAATTATGATTGTGACTGGTTCACTTTATTGTAGTTATTTTTGTGTCGATGGAGCATGTTGTTATGTGTTTACATTTACATCTTAATTTTATGAAGTTAAGTTTTGTGTTTGAGTGTGTGGCCTTGTTTTTCCTACATCATGGGGACAATTTTTCCAAAAAAGCAGTCTCATGGGGACCGATGCCTGGTCCCTACGGGTCCAAATGCAAATTACGGGTGGGGGGTTAGGTTTAGGACCAAGGTGTGAATAGAGTTAAGTTTGATTTTTAAGGTCAGGTGACCTATGAGGTTAATTTTAGAGGAAAAGTCAGGGTTAGGCTATAAAAGTTCCAAAAAACCATGAATGCAAGTCAATGCACGACTCTCACGCGGATATACAAACCAGACGTATGTGTGTGTGTGTGTGTGTGTCTGTGTGAGGGGGTATTTCTCTTTTTAAATCTTTGCTACCTCTGCACAAGATAAAGTCGGCTGTTGGATAAATCTGGAACAAGACACTTTTCTGCTAAGTTACATTTCTGTTAACTCTGAGTGACCACAAGGAGCTGAACAAGACAGATAAAGCTGGACTTCAATAACTTTACCAGGCTTGACAACATCATCAAATTAAATAACCTGAAAGTGTAACCAAAGCTGTCACACGTTATTTTACCTGTTGACTCGTCGTGGGCACTTGTCGGGCTTAATGTCCACCTCGTAGTGATAGACGTCCATCTTTGGGATCTCCACTTCGAAGTAGTTGGCCAGTAGTTTGATGGGCTTGCCCACGGTGCCCATGCCTGGCCGGCGGGGGGCATGGAACACCTGCTGCAGGGGTGGGGGGAAGACCCCCAAGGGCACTGGACAGACAGGTTACAAGGAGGCATCCAGGACGACAGGCAACAGAGGAGGGGGATTCAATGCAGAGTTTGATTGAAGAAAGTGAACAGTCAAAATAAAATAAAAAGTTTGGTTGAATAAACGGACAAAGAACAAACACAAGAGGAAAAGAAACACCGATGAAACAAGGTGTCAAAATAAACGATAAAAACAGAGAAAGTGATAGAAATTGCCACAAATGTGAGCAGAAGTCAGGAAGGAAATATAGACAGAAGTTCAAGTGGGCCCCAAGTTTTAACAGCAGAGACAGGAAGGGAGGAAGAGGGATGATAAGAATGAAAGGAAACAATGTCAAGTGCAGCAGATGTGTGAGGCCAGAGAAAAACAAAGGTGCATTATTTGTGTTTAAAAAGAGCAGTACAGAGTGATGAACAGCGTTTGGATAAAACACAAARAACAAGACAAACAACCAGATAAGGACAGAAATGAAGACAACAGGGAAGGGAGAAAAGAAGGAATAAATTAGTAAAATAATTCTGAAATTTTTTCCAATCAGTTCTCACCTCACCTTTTGTTTGTGCATTTGGTCAAATTTTCAAAAAAAAAAACTGATAAAATGGCCAAGTGTTTTTGTAAAATATAACTTCACTGTTGCAGCCTTGAACACTGGTTGATACCGATATCGATCCAGTACGGTATTAGAATGAATCAAACATACTTTTATGACCTTTTTTTGTATTGTGGAATCTTTAAAAGTTTTGATAAAGTCAAACAATAAAATAGTCAACAACAGTAGTTATGAGAAAGACTGGTCCTACTTATTATTAACCAATGGGTTAGATCAATTTATTACTTAAACATAATATTGTAAAATTAAATACAATACATAAATAATAAAAGAGAAAACCATGAAAATTACCTCAATAAATCCAATAAAAACAAAATATACTTTTAAAGTGTAAAAGAACTATTCAAGATCATGTCAGCTGTTTATGCTGGATCTAGAAGCTGCTGGATAGAAATCCTGAGCGTACTRTAAYGGACTTCTTGTATCAGAGTGCTAATATCTAAGATTTTAGATGCAGGCCAATATAATCTGATATTCATTTTTTGGCTAACATTGGACTGATATCCGATTTTGATATCGGATCAAGACACCTCTCACTTTAGGAAAAAACTTTGCAACAAATTCTTTATTTATTGATCTGTTCCAAACATGACAATACAGTGTTTTTTTTTTCATTGTGACGTTTCACACTGTTCCTAAAACAAATACTGTAGCAGTTTTAGAAATCTATTCATAATTGTAGCAAATTTGCTAACAAAACTTAATTTTTAGTCTTAATTTTCAACCTTCTAAAATAATCCAAGRTTATTATAAAACTTTTTGTTTTTGTTCCATACATTACTGTATAAAACATTAGACAGGCGGGCAGAAAAATGCTCAGAGTAAGATCCACACAAATRTAACCCTGTTTCTTTGTGTTGCTTGACAAAAAATTCAGAGAGAGAACAGAGGGGAAATTTAGATCRAACTTAAAAATCTGTACCACCATCCTTCATCATCTTATAATCAGTTCTTTCAGATACACTTGCACACAGATTTAAACAAACTCTGCAGAGTTCAGGCTGTTCCAGAGATCTCAGAGAACTGACCTCTGTGAAAGTTTCTGTCTTAAAACAAAAAGAAAAAAGTTGTATAGGTCTTCTGGACGGGTTCTTCTTTAATGAAACGTTTC